TCTAGAGTCCTCCTGCTGCTATAGAGTCAGTATGTCTCATCAGAATGTCTCTAGAGAGACCTGCTGCTGCTATAGAGTCAGTATCTCATCAGAGTGTCTCTCTAGAGAGTCCTGCTGCTACTATACAGTCAGTATGTCTCATCAGAGTGTCTCTAGAGAGTCCTCTTGCTGCTATAGAGTCAGTATGTCTCATCAGAATGTCTCTAGAGAGACCTGCTGCTGCTATAGTCAGAATGTCTCATCAGTGTCTCTCTAGAGAGTCCTGCTGCTACTATACAGTCAGTATGTCTCATCAGAGTGTCTCTAGAGAGTCCTGCTGCTGCTAAACAGTCAGTATGTCTCATCAGAGTGTCTCTAGAGAGTCCTCCTGCTGCTATAGAGTCAGTATGTCTCATCAGAATGTCTCTAGAGAGTCCTGCTGCTTCTATAGAGTCAGTATGTCTCATCAGTGTCTCTAGAGAGTCCTCCTGCTGCTATACAGTCAGTATGTCTCATCCCAACGGAGTTACTTTACAGTCACTATTTAAGCATTAGGATGTTGGCCAATACCAGTTGCCTTTATATTCATACATTTGTATGCTCAGCTCAGGTTTATTCTGGGTTTAAGGAGCTGATATGAAACCGGGACTCTTTGGGAATCTAAGCTTTTGCATTCTTATTTTTATTGCTTATACTCCTACGCGTAGTTCCCCAGGAAAGCCTCTGCCTCATGCTGACTTTTCAAGAGGGTCCTGACCATTCCTCGCAGCGGGGGTGCGCGGAGCGAATAATAATAACAATCCCCATGGAGACATTTGCTGTTATTGCTCCCAATGTGGAACATTGGGAGCGAGAGGCGGGCACGCGCACGACGCCAGCGGGTGACGTCACGGCATCTCGAGCGTCCTCCGCGAGCGCAGCGGACGCGGCGAGAAGTCGCCATCGTCTTGTTGTGCGGTTAATACCGCACCAGCAGCACCAGCAGCACCAGCAGCACCACCACCAGCACCACCACCACCACGGCAGTAGTGGTAACCAGAGGCCACCCAATGGATTAGAACCGCGAAGTTCTGCAGCAAAGCAGCGAACGCGCTTCCGCTAGACCACCGCGTCACCCGTCCTCGTCTGCTGCTCACGTCCAGCGCCACCACAAACACCTCCTCATACTCCTTCTCTTCCTCCTCCTCCTCGTCAGTCCCGACGACAGAATATCCCTCTCGCTTCGATCTCCCACCCTGAAGCTTCTGGTGACGCCACCCCTAAACCGCCATCATCCACTGCATTAACCATGGCGGCAGTAGCAATGCTGATGATCGTGGTGATGATGATGCACAAATGGAAAGTTTAAAACTCTCCGGACAGTATGCAGCGGCTTTGTTTGCCCAGAATGGAGACCATGGAACTCATGACGATTCAAAAAAACCGGAGGCGGCATCGTGAGTGACGCAATCGTCTGGCTCAGCAACCACCTCGATGGACAATTACAGCTGTTGCCCTTACATCAACATCGGCCACACAGCGAAGGCGTACACAGACTCACACGGAGACCCATAGAGACACACTCGCAAAGGCATACATAGATTCGCAGAGACCCACAAAAACTCACAAAGTTACCCACAGACCCACACAGACATCTATAGATTTATTCAAGAGACCCATATACTCACACCGAGACCCAGACTCATATACTCGCACGGAAGTATATACTCCTGACGCAATCATCTGGCTCAACCACCTCGTTATCAGAGACCAGCGGGCTTGTGAGACGGCGAAGCCGCGCTCAGACACTCGCAGTGAGACACGCCGACACGCGTCCTTGAATAAAAAATGATTTATTAACAAGTGTTATGAAATTCCATATTAAAGATATTATATATGCGTTAAAAAGGAAATTATCTTTCACAGTATAGATTTATGAACCTAAATAACAATAATTACAACAACGCCGCTGACATTTGATCGTGAGTGACAGCGAGAGAGATGGAGAGAGAAAGTTTGTGAGAGTGACCCAGGGAGAGCGAGACTTCAGAATTGTCCCGGAAACGAGGGGAGGCCGAATCGGTCGTGGGCCCTGTGACCCAACCACCACCACCACCACCACCTCCACCATCAAAGACAAAGATCCCTCGTATAGCGTTAAACACACGATCGGGGCAAGTTCTGTTAGCGTTGGCGAGCACACTCGGGGGGTGGGTGGCCAGCGCCACGCCCGACCGCCTTTGTCTCCCTCGTGGCGATGTTTACACTTCGCACCAGGTATTCATTTGAGACCGAGTCGAGCTAAGCGAGCCTCAGGCAAGGTTCAACCAAATCGCCACTTTTTTTGCTGGCGAGCGGGAATGGAAACCGGTGTCGCCGGGTTTGTAGCGCAGCGCGCTAACCACTGCGCCACCGCTCCCCACTACCGCCTCCCCTCTTCTTCCTCGTGTAACAATTCCTCCAACCACCCCGAGACTCTCCCGACCGCAAGCCCCGAACCTCGGCGCGAGACATCGCGTCCCTGCGAGCGATCGTGGCGAGGTGGAGGGGGTGAGGTGGGTGGGGGGGGGGGTAGGGGGGGAGGTTGGTGGGGGGGTTGGTGGGGGGTGAATTCGAGACCACGGACGGAACTCGCGGCCGTCGCCTCCACGCGATGGAGAAACTCACCGCGCTGGGCGCGAGAATCCGGAGCGAGCGCTCCCCGGGGTACCGCTGAACTCCTCCCCCAGGGAGAAGAACATTCCACAGTGGGGGGGAGGGGGGGTTGGGCTCATTTTAGTCCCCAAATGGGGGGGGGGAGCTCTTACCCTGTAACACTTGGGCGCGGTTTGCAGAATATCTCAACGAGTGGTGGTGTTGGTGGCGAGACGTGTCAATGGATTAGAAATTGTGGTGGTTGCGGGGGGCTGGTAGAAGTAATGGAGGTCCATTTATAGACGCCAATGTGGGAGGGGTGAAGGGGGGCAAATAAAGTACGTTGCTCATTATTTATTTATATAAACAAACATTACACGGACACTCCCTTGACAATGAATATCACATTTGCAAGGCTGTGTGTACGACGGCGAGGAATCACACGGACTAGTTCCACGCTCCTGAAAGCTAGGCGGGGGTGGGGGGGGGCTGGAGAACCGCCCCCACCCAAGCACGCTCCGTGTGTGGTGAGGATGGTGATGGTGGTGGTGAGGGTGGTGGTGGGATGGCGAGGCGAGTTCTCGAGAACCACGCACGCGTTCGCCTGACTCGGGAACCAAAACCAAAGTCAAGAAACTAAACAAAAACAAATCATCACAAAACCCGGCGCGGGTGTGCAAGCGACCAGCGCGCACCCATCATCACATCATAAAGTGGCGGTCGCTAAATTTCAGCTGCCGTTACTGCTGCTCCAGCTGCTGGTTTTAGCCGTGCCAAAAGTCTCGTTTGTTTTACCGAAGATGAATTTTAAGAGAATCGCGTTGCGGTTAATGATGATAATAATGACAAACAACAACAACCACCACCAATGACATTCCATAGCAACAACAACAACCAGCGAGCGAGCGAGCGGGCTACGGAACGGCCACGTGGTAAGGCTATTTGCTATGCATCATCATAGCCTCACGTGGGTCGAGATATGTTGCTGCTGGACGTTGATGGCACACGTTATGGTGAGTTGAGGGGGGGGTGTCGTCTGAACGCGGCTCCCTGAGTCCACGTTGGTACCACCCGGTGGCACGGTGGGCACCGCTTCCTCAGCACTGCCGCCGTCACCACCACCACCCCCCTCTCGATGTGGCCCATGACCGGCGCCTTGCGTGCTCACCGCTTGACACGAGGGGACGAGGCGAGGGGATGACGAAGCAGCAGTTCCAATCGTGTTGGCCGTGTAAATAGTTTGGTGCCGCTAAAGTTATTCCACTTTAGGGTGGTACCGAGTTCTGCCCACTTGGTAATTTCCTTATTTTAGTTGGCATCACGAGACTAGCAGCACACTTTAAGGGGGGGTGGGCGGGGCAGGAGGCGGTTGGAACCATCGTTAATAATTAATTTGTCCAATTCATTATTTGAGTTTTGACGATGCTCTTAAACAGCCGCTAATTCCATAATGTTGTAATATATATATATGTACTTGGATATTACAAAAAATAATAATCGATTGGTCTGCTGACGTTCTGTTTTTTTAAACTAAAAAACAGAAGTAGACAAAAACATGTTTTACAGCAGCAGCAGCAGCCACGGGCGAAATCATGTTGAGGAACGTGACTCTGACTCATTGCCCTGGGGGCAAATTCCTGCCTCTCTCTCTTTCTCTCTCTCTCTCCTCGACTTTCACAGAGAGAGAGAGAGAGAGGAAAGGGAGAGATTAAAAAAAGTGTGTCCGTAACAGCATCGACCTGGGAGAGGTCAAGGGTCAACTCGACTCGCCGCCCTAACCGGGATCTCAGCTCGCAAACGCTCCGATATAATTTGCAGGCCACTCACTCGATCACCGCACCATCGCCACCGGGCCTCGAGAACAACAGCCAGTAACTGTAGCCTTGCTGCGCTACGACGAGGCAATGCAAGAGACGCAGGTAGGGGTTGCCAGCATTCAGGTGTGCGTGATCACATGGGGCGGGTCCGTCTGCGAGCGGTCGTCCCAACGGGTCGATCACCGATCCTGGTGCCACTGGTGGCTTAAAGGAAAAGGTGCTCACCCCCACGAATAAAACACAAACAAGCAGCTCTTATCTTGTAGCTACCTATGCTGGGTGTCTCAGGAGTTTAGAGCTTCGTCAAATTAACGTTGTCACTCGAGTGATGACAAGCCGTGGGGGGAAGGGGGTCGACTCATCATCTCTCCGGAGTCGATAAAGCGAGGAGGTCAAGAGTATTTTTTTTTTGCTTTGGAGAGACTCGCTATAGGAATGTGGAAATGTCCACCAGTGGCTCTTCAGGGCTGTAAACAGGAGGAGATGAGTACCAATGCTTCAGTGTTCATTTGAGCTGCAGGAAACCACCTTGAAATGATGTAATGGAACACCTGACCGTAACTTTAAAGTCTTTGTTTTTCTTATTTCTAGAAAACGAAACTTCCTCTTCAAGCTCACGTCGGGACATCTCGGGACACGCAGCCTCAGGCGGTGTAGCTACAAGAGAAGAGAACCACTGCATTCTGGGGTCGTGTCTTGGCATTTAGCACACAATCACTTACATCACACTCCACCTGCTGGCCAATACACCACGTCACTCGCACCCTTACAATACAAAATTACATGAATTAATAAAGAACAAAATTACTGGATTATATTTCATTAAAAATAAAATATATATTTCGTTTAAATCGGACTCTTATTTTTATCTTTCTCCCTCTCTCATCCAAATGATCGCATTGCAAAGCGCTCCCCTCATGTGCTGGTTCACACGACGCATCTCTCACGAGAGCCACGTGTTGTTCCGCCAGGGCTGAACAAGTCTTTGGTAAGACACCCAGGGCCCACCCAGGGCCCACACCCAGGGCTATTACAGCACGAGGCAGACAAATTGAAACATTCCACCAACACTACCAACAACAACCGCCATTCGCCACTAAGTGGCGGTGACGTCACCACGACGCTTGTGCCAGGCTATGTGCACCTTGAGGCCACGTGAAGTGTCGAACGCCCGCTGGCAGCAGGTCACGTGGCAGACCCAGGTGCCACGGGTCGACTGACTGAGACTACCAACAACCACCACTACCACCAACCACCTCAAAGCAGCCAGTAGCCAAGTACCACTCCCCACAACACCCACAGCACCCCCCCCCCCCTTTATCAAAAATTCCATTTACAACACCAATCAAGCAGTGACACAGCAGCCACACTGTGCAAGTTGGGGATGTCCCAACTCATGAACGGATCCCGCTGTTTACTGGGGTAAATTACAGACGGGATCCGTGCAGTTCACCCCCCCCCCCCAGCCTGTGAGTCTCTGTGTAGCAGAAGAGAGGAACTTCACTCCCATTGCATTGAGCTCACGTGTCGGCACCGGTCAACTCACAAGGTTGTTTGAAGGGGGGCGGAACTCCACCGACGTTTGTTCAAATTGTCACGAGCGTCTCCTGGCCACAAATTGTCACGAGCGTCTCCTGGCCACATCTTAACGTGTGGTGGGTGGTGGTGGTGGCGGGGTGGGGGTCTCCTGGCCGTGTCGTAAGCAGAGGCCCAGCTCCCATGTTGAGCTGGGCCTCTGCTTACGAGGCGAGGGGGAAGATGGCAGAGAGCCAAGACACGGCTCATCCACCTGCGTGGCGAGGAATTTGTTTTGGCGAAATTTTCTCCGGCTCCGGGGACCCCACGTGCCCCCCCCTCCCCGCCTCCACCCCCCACGTCCTTGCCCCATCTCTTATCCCACCCACCGTTGACTGTAAGGTGCACAGTCTGAGGTGCTCGGTGTTCAAACACGACGACTTGGAAATAAAGAGGGATGAGGAAAATGGGACAAGGGCAGCAGAATATCCCAACTCCTTCCGGTGTCAGATCGCCGGATGAGCACAATGTGCATCGTAAACCCTGGATGTGTGTGCGTGTGTGCGTGTGTGTGTGCGTGCGTGTGTGCGTGTGTGTGTGCGTGTGTGTGTGCGTGTGTGTGCCTGTGTGCGTGTGCCTGTGTGTGCGTGCGTGCGTGTGTGTGTGCGTGTGTGCGTGTGTGCGCGTGTGCGTAGCTCGTCAGCCGACAGAGTCGGTGGCAGCCACATTCAGAGTCGAGGAGCCATTCACTCGCTGGGTCTTGGCTGAGTGCGTACAGCAGTGGTGGGTGGGTGGTGGGTAGCGGTTGTAGTTTGTGGATAGCGGTGGTGGGTGGTGAGCAGCGGTGGTGGGTAGGTGCGTGGGGGGGTTGGTGGGTGTGTGGGGGGGAGTTGGTGGGTGTGTGGGGGGTTGGTGGGTGTGTGGGGGGATGTCCCTCTTTTGATCTACAGCCATTCCCCTCCGAAGCGGCGACAGCAGTGGATTCAACCTGCCCACTGCCTCTCTCTCCCAGAAAAAAATAAATCACTCTCAATCCAATGTACACACGCCCACTCCATCTCCCTGCCCCCCCCCCCCCCCAAGCACACACGCCCCCCCCAATCGATTATAGCTCTCCCTTAACATTATTATTATACATTACAGCTCACCCCTGTACATTACAGCTCCCACTATACATGTGCACATGAAGATTCCCCCAACTGAAAGCCGGTTGGGGTGTTGGGAGGGGGGGGGCAGGAACGTGCCCCCCAACCCTTCCCAACAAAAAACAAACAACTCGAAACGCCCTCCCCTCCTTCGTAGTAATAATAATAATAGCATCGTACAAAGCGCAAAGCAACAGCAACAAACAACCCCGACTCGGCCTCGCCCGGGACTCCGCTCCTGCTGCACGAGCTTGGAGGAGGTGCAGGAGGTGCAGCAGGGGGACAACGAGGCCGAGTCGGAGCCACTGGCAGCACGGAGAGTGGAAGGGGCAGAGAGAAAGCGATGGACGGAATCGACGTCAACTCGCACGCAGGCACAATTCTACCACCCTCACCCACCCATCCACCCCGTAGAACCTTTACAGACGCGCTGGAGGCAAGTGCTGTTAGCGAGCACCGAGTATCGAGGTCCGCACAGCACCCGACGGGGAGTTGGCGTGGTCAACTACCGAGCCCCTTCCCAGCCACACACACCGCCACCCAGCCGCACGGACACACACTGCCACCCAGTGTCAGGCAGAGGTAATCAACTCATAAGGCACACGTACAAAGACGCACACGCGAGGCGCGCGCACAACACACCACAACCAACCGTTCACTCCTCCAGCGAACCCACAGACGCTGACCCGTCGTTCAGTCCAGCTGAACCTTGCTCTGACGCCACAATCCGGGGGTTACGGGAAGTGTTTGTTTGTTTGTTTGCGTCCCACATTTGTTTACTCTTCTTTCTCTCCTTGGTTGTTTTTGTTCTTCCCACGCACCCCGGCCCTCACCCCCTCGGCTTGGGGGGGCGGGGGATGGTGGTGGTGGTGGTTGTGTGGAGTGGGCCACGCTCATCACACCAGCATGTGGCGCTTGCGGTGCAGCGCGAGGTGGTCGGAGCGCGAGAAGGAGCGCTCGCAGTCCACGCACTTGAAGGGCTTCACGCCCGTGTGCTTGCGGTAGTGCCGCGTCAGCTCGTCCGAGCGCGCGAACTTCCACGTGCAGCCGTCCCACGTGCAGCGGTAGGGCTTCTCGCCTGCACGAGGGGTGGGGAATCACCGAATTAGCATGGTCGCTGCAATCATCATCATCATCACCGCTGCCATTGTCATCATAGTGATGGTGTCATCCGACTGTTGAAGGAGCGCAGACTACAGTGGGTTCACTTTCCGGACCATAGCGTCGGTTGCATGGCCACAATCGCCTCACCACTGTGGCTTGTCGTCTTTCATGTATCCCTATGGGTATCTATGTATAACTATGGGTATCTATGTATCTGTACGTGTCTCTATGGGGTTACTTTGAGGTCCACTCAGCGCTTGTCCACACAACAGGTGCATGGACCACGCGCGCCCTCTATGGACGCAAGACCGCATGTGCGATAGAAGTCGTCCATCGGAGCAGAGGGCTCTCGAGCGCAGCCTCGCCAGACAACCCACAAGTGCCCCCGTGTGGCGGCACGGAATTATTCAACTAAAAACGCACAACTGTGTGGCCTTAATTGGAAAAAAATATATATATAATCGCCGACGTTTTGGGTAACGGCCGTGATCAATAGCACGTACATGAGAGATGTACTTGTTTACCCCATGGGGGCGGGGACGGGACTGATGTTAATTACATCTTTCAAGAATGTTTTTTTTAATTACCAGTTTTTTTTTATCTGGCATACGAATAGTTACACAGTGGCTGTTCAGCAACAGACAAACCCTTCGCGATTGTCAACAACGTATCGCTTCTAAATAAACTCATTCGCGGAGTGACTTAGCTCAAGATAAAGTGGCAAAGAAAAATTCAACCGTGACGAGTGCTCGCTCCGCACGTGTCCCTGGCTGGCCGTGGCGCAGGCCGTGCAACTGCACCGGGACTCCACGTGCCCGGAGTGGCCCACGTGGTGGGGCTGGTGAGTGAGTACGCAAGGAGGAGTTTGGACAGGGGGCGCGAGTTTGTTGTCCTTCCCCGCACCTCCGCGAGAGAAGCCCAACGCGCCTAACTCGATCCAATCAATCCGAGGGTTGTCAACGCGCGGCAAATTTTCAGCGCGGAGACCGAAGCGTGGTTGCGACGCACGCTGGGGAAATGAAACTCAACGCGAGGAGCGGCAGAATAAATTAACGTTTGTAGTCCGGTCTTTGAAAGCACCGATGGCCACGGCTGAACGGACTTCCTTCGTAACCTTCGTCTTAACAACAACAACCGGCGATACGGCGCACAATCGCACCGCCACTCGACCTGGCCGCTCGCCGGCCGCTCACCGGTGTGCGTGCGGCGGTGGGCCTTCAGGTGCGAGCTCTTGGTGTAAACTTTGTTGCAGCCGTCGAAGTCGCAGCGGTGGACTCGCTTGCGGCGCGCCGAGTCCGGCGAGTCGCAGTCGCGCGCACGCTTAGTCCGCGGGGTCACGAGCGGTGAGCCTGACCTGCGGACACAACGCGGTGGGGCAGAGGAGGCGGGGGGGGGAGAGTTGCGTTAGCGACCTGCTTGCTGTACTGCCAAGCAGCGGACGCGCACCAAGTTCACGCCGCCACGAGCAAGCAATTGCGGAGCTGCACCTTTGCCGTTTGATTGACGTTCACGTATTCCGCCTATCCCGACCGGCCACGCGAGGGCACGCGGTGGTCCCCACTCGGCCTTGCCGCGTCCACCGCCCTGCCAGTAGGGGGGGCGATGTCAGCCGCGGGAAATCGCCCACCGAAGATCCGCAGCGGACGTTGGGGGACGCCGAGGCCGAGTTCACAAACGATTGGAGGTCCCATTGAGGGCAACAACGTCGCGGTTGGCTACGTACGGCGCGAAAGAAGTTCAGCATACAATGTGGGAGTGAGATGGTATACCCTACGTGCGTTTCGTATCGCCGTGTCCCGCAGGGGAGAGTTATCGATCGGTGCGTTTTTTCCGACACGATGTTTTGGATCGCGGACACCGACGAACGGGAACGGGAGATGCACACGCGAGGAATTGCACTGAGAGACGGGAAGAGGAACGCGTGGATTTAGCGTGCAAAAGTCAGAGGGCATTGTCGTACTGGCATCATAGGAAAAGTAGCAAACACATTTTCAACGCCGTATATATAGCATAGGTGACGTTTCGGGCAATGGCGTGACAATAATGTCGTCGGGTGGTGGAGGGTTAACGGCAAGAATTTCTCGGTATAAAACTCGCGCCGCCGCGAGCCACCGCGCCTTCAACTGCAACCGCGAGCCGCAGCCACAAGAGGCCGCCAGTCCCCCGTGCAGCCCGCAACGCCCCGCGCGCGGCCAGGCCGAGACGCCGCTGAGCGGCTCCGCGCACGAAGAGGCGATGATGGTTGAGTCGCAGAGGAGTCAGAAACAGAATCGGGAACTCGGCTCAAGACTGCACGAATCCACGCGCGCTCCAGCTCGAGCTGCTGTTGCTGCTGTTGCGTTGTCGGCAGGCGGTGCACACGCTCAACGGTAAATTGAGCCACTCCAATGCATTGAGTTTTACATGAAGCCGAACATCATTCTCATATTGTTGTTGTGATATTTCAGAACTGCCGGGGGAGGGGCGGGGGGTGGAGACACGCAAGGCCCCCCCCCCCCGGCTACCGCTGACCCCCAGTGATGCACGGCGTGGGCGTGGGCCGCGCGTGTTCCAATTGGAGACGCTCGTGTTGTGTTTTTCCTCGCGTGTCGACAACACCCAGAGAGAACGGGACACCGCCTCCCCCAAAAATACCCCCCCCCCCATCCTCCACCTCCACACCCTACAGCATCAACACCGCCCCCCATCATCTCCCCAAACTCTCTCTCTCGCTCTCTGCTGCTGCTGCTGCTGCCAGACTCAGACTTGCAGGGGTGGCTGAGAACGTGGGGGGCAGTGTGGGCTTTGGGGGGGGGGGGGAGGGGGTTGCGACGAATCAGAACTTCGAGGTGGAGTGGGTGGATAAAGGGTCGAACAAATGCGGGGGGAGGTGGGGGGTTAAGGGTTTGAAGGTTGCACGAGTGGGGCACTAAAGGGGGATGGACTTTGGAAGCGAATGTGGAGACGGGGGGGGGGGGCAGAAAATGTCGATTCAGTTTTGGGGGCAGCGAATATAAATTAAGTTGGGGGGCAGTGAAAGGAGATGGAGTAGATTTGGGGGAGAGGGGGGGTGTATGGAGGCGATGTGGATGGGAGGGGGGGCGGCAGATGGGAGGCGTTTGCAGAGTTAGGGAATTGAGACGTTTCCTCTCTGTCGTTTTCCCTCGACCCGCCGTGTCCTGTGTACGGAAAGCCTCGCGGGGGCGGGCGAGTGGGCGAGAACTCATGGGCGGTGGGGGGCTGCTGGGTTCAGAGCGAGGATGGTGGTGGTGGTGGCGGTGGTGGTGGTGGTGATGGTGGCAGAGAGGCGCATTATTTGGGGGTGCCGAGAGAGAACTCACAATGTGGTGCTCGCACAAGAATCATCACCTTCATCACCTTCATCATCACCAGCAGAGACTCATCGCCTGGCGGCTAACGTGCTCGCCTGTCGGCAATGAAGACGCGGGCTCGCCTCCCCTACAACTGACCGAACAAAACCCCAACCCCCCCCCGCCCACCAAAACAAGTGAAAACAACCTTAATGCCCATGTTTGGTAATAGGAGAGGGGGCAAAGGAGGAGAAACTACAGCTAACCAGACCCTTGTGTTAGGCCTAATCGTAACTAGATAACCAGATAACCAGACCCTTGTGTTAGGCCTAATCGTAACTAGATAACCAGATAACCAGACCCTCACCAAATGTGCAACAGTTGGCCACGGTGTGCCACGGTGCCACTGTTCACGTTTGCCAAATTCAAAAAATGACCCCGCGAATGACCGAATTTGTAATCTGCAAGACGAAGCGATCATCGCGCCCCCTACTGCTGCGAACACGTGGCAGGACCCTCTTGAAAAATAGCCACGAGACTCGGCAAGGTTTTCCCGAGTTAAAGAAGAGCAATAACAATCATGACACCCCCCCCCCCCCCCCATTACAAGTGAACTAGTCTCCCACACTAGTTCAACCAACCCTAACATTCAACCAGCCAACATCCATAAGCCTACCCCCCAAACCCTACCCTCCGAGCGCTTACAAACTGGCCAACCAGACACCACCTCGCGTTGGCATCCCCAAGTCTAAGACAGCTTAACCCACCACAACGTTAGTCCGAGCTATAACCGACTCCCTGGGCAACCAGCTCCTAGCATTAGTCCCCCCACAGCCCTATCGCTGACCTTAACCCAACCCGAGCACCACCTCCGGGGCTTAAATAACAGAGGCTCTGCATTGTTGATTCCCCATTGAACTTCCATTGTCAACGGAGCCTCTCCCCCGACTCTGGTGAGAAAGGATGAAGTGTGGGAGTTGGGTCATTGGGATGGCGGTGTGTGGGAGGAAGAGGGGGGGGGGGACTGACAAGGACTGACACACACCCACGTGATGCTGCCCGCTGCCGCTGCTGCCGCTGCTGCAGCAGCTGTGACGCACGCGCAAATGGGGGACGCGCGAACCCCTCCCAGGCCCCGGGCAGGTGACGCGCGCGCCGCCTGCGCTGTCATGCGGCGGATGACGCCGCGGGAGGAGTTGGTGCGGGAGGAGTTGGTGCGGGAGGAGTTGGTGCGGGAGGAGTTGGTGCGGGAGGAGCTGGTGCGGGAGGAGTTGGTGCGGGAGGAGCTGGTGCGGGAGGAGCTGGTGCGGGAGGAGTTGGTGCGGGAGGAGTTGGTGCGGGAGGAGCTGGTGCGGGAGGAGCTGGTGCGGGAGGAGTTGGTGCGGGAGGAGTTGGTGCGGGAGGAGTTGGTGCGGGAGGAGTTGGTGCGGGAGGAGTTGGTGCGGGAGGAGTTGGTGCGGGAGGAGTTGGTGCGGGCGCGGGCACGGCCCGGCAGCCGCGCCCTCCTCGCACGGCTGCGGGCCCCGTCCCCTCATCTCCCTCCCACCCACCGACTACGGTCGTCAAACTCGACATCCCACCGTGCGTGCTTATACCCCACCCCCTCGCCCCTTCTGCGATCGACTCCCTTTCAAACGTCTCCCCCCACTATCTCTCTCCCACCCCAGCCCCCCCCCCCCCCGTCTCCCACCCCAGCCCCCTGTCTCCCCCCACTATCTCTCTCCCACCCCAGCCCCCCCCCTGTCTCCCACCCCAGCCCCCCCCCCGTCTCCCACCCCAGCCCCCCCCCGTCTCCCACCCCAGCCCCCCCCCCCGTCTCCCACCCCAGCCCCCCCCCCCGTCTCCCACCCCAGCCCCCCCCCCGTCTCCCACCCCAGCCCCCCCCCCGTCTCCCACCCCAGCCCCCCCCCCGTCTCCCACCCCAGCCCCCCCCCCCGTCTCCCACCCCAGCCCCCCCCCGTCTCCCACCCCAGCCCCCCCCCGGCTCCCACCCCAGCCCCCCCCCGTCTCCCACCCCAGCCCCCCGTCTCCCACCCCAGCCCCCTCTGTCTCCCAGCTCCCCCCCTCCGTCTCCCACCCTAGCCCCCCCCCCGTCTCCCACCCCAGCCCCCCCCGTCTCCCACCTGTCTCCTGCACCCCCTCCCCTTCCACTCCCTCCTCCCACTCACAAAGACAAAGATCCCCCGTATAGACTTCAACAGCCCGTTGGAGCAGGTGCTGTTATAGCGAGTAGCACCTATGAAGGCCGGCACGGCACACGAGGGGGTGGGTGGCCAGCACCACACCCGGCCGTCTTTGTTTCCCCAGTGCTGATAATGATGATGACCTATCAAAGCTACCTCATCACATTTTCACTCACCTCCTCCCCCGTCTCCCATCTCGGCCCGCCAACCCCCCCCCGGGCCCCCCCCCCCCCCCCATCCATCTCCCAACACTCCCCTGGCTACCGTCCCAGCTCAGTCAGTCACGTGACCATCCAATAGACCACCACCACCGCTCAGAAGGAAGAGGTCTGCGACTGTTGTCGTTGTGGCTTTCGTGACGAGGCGAGGGAGGAGAATGGTGGCGGCTCGTGGTTATTCACTTCTGCGACTCCATGACGCAACTTTAAACGCGACCGTTCCCACGTTCAGAGCGAGCGAGCGTCTTGCGTCATGAGTGAGTGGTGAGCGGTGAGTCACCGCGTGTGGAGGCGTCACTCACCGCGATCACAATCTACCAATTCATCTGCCCATCACTCGGACGTTTTGAATGGTGCCTCAAAAATGTTTAATGTTTTGAAAGGATCCCTCAGTTGTAGATATTACAATTTCACCAATTTTTTTTTCAAATCGTTTTAACTCCCCTCAGCATTGTCCCCTCCTCACATCAAAAACCGTGGCCGCATGTTGACAAGTTAAATAAAATGACAGGTTAAATTCCAAACCGCGTGGTTCTACTGCACCAGGGAGCGGGGTCGTGCTTACTGCTGGGCATCTCCGTCTGGCACGCGGCCACCACCACCATCGTTACCACCACCACCATCGTCACCACCACCACCATCGTTACCACCACCACCATCGTTACCACCACCACCATCGTTACCACCACCACCATTGTTACCACCACCACCATCGTCACCACCATCGTCACCACCACCACCGTCGTTACCACCACCACCACCACCACCGTCGTTACCACCACCACCACCGTCGTTACCACCACCACCACCACCACCATCGTCACCACCACCACCACCATCGTCACCACCACCACCATCGTCACCACCACCATCGTTACCACCACCACCACCACCATCGTTACCACCACCACCACCATCATCGTTACCACCACCACCATCGTTACCACCACCACCACCATCGTTACCACCACCACCATCATCGTTACCACCACCACCATCGTCACCACGACCACCACCATCGTCACCACCACCACCACCATCGTCACCACCACCACCACCATCGTTACCACCACCATCACCACCACCACCATCGTCACCACTACCATCACCACCACCACCATCGTCACCACCACCACCGTCACCACCACCACCGTCACCACCACCACCACCACCGTCACCACCACCACCGTCACCACCACCACCATTGTCACCACCACCACCATCGTCACCACCACCACCATCGTCGTCGTGGTCCCGCTACGACGTTCGCCCTAGGCCGACTTTGAAGAGACACCGATGCCTGCACAGGCCTCCCCCACACCTTTCCCTCCCTCTCTCTCGCCCGGCTCCACGGAGTTCCCGGTCACCACGTCGGATGTCCCTGTGATACTGTGCAGCCCGTTACAAACTTGTATACATTGTTCTCAAAGAGATCTCCAGCAGCAGCAGCAGCAGCCATGATCGACCCGCTGCTACATGAAAAACTCACAAATTCACCGCTACCCCCTGACGATCCAGCGATGCAACAATCCGCGTGGTACCGCCATCTCAATTCGTCACACCACCTCCCCGCTCGACACCCCCACCCCTCCTGGGCTGCCACTCCGCCACCACCATTCTAGACCGGAGGCCATCGGCCCTTCTGCCCCCCCGCGGCTCAACTTCTCTCAGCAGTTCGATTGCCCCCGTGGCTCTTTGACCTGTGCGCACGTCCTCCGATCCAGTTGCTTTCCTCTCTCCGTTTCACCCCGGTGTCTCTCAATGGGGCCCTGTTGCTTGGTCTAAGATAACGGTCACCTCTCTCTCTCTGTGCGTCTCGTCTCACTAAAGTGTCACCCCCCCCCCCCCCCGTGTCCTCTTGGGACTGTAGCTCATGGGATGGGAGGATGGGCAGGGCAAGGGGAGTTGTTCAGAACCTGAATGCCAAGTCCCCTGGACGCCCGCCCAGCCATTTCCTGGAGATTACACAGAGTTAAAGGGGAGGGGGAGCAAGGAGGGGGCGTAAGACCCCCCCACCCTCCTCCCCCCCTCCCTATTCCTCTCCGTCTCTTCCTACCTCCCTGGCTCACTGCCAAGTCTCCACGCCTATCCGGTGCGTCCAGGGCGCTCGCCTCCGATAACTACAACTCGCTCACTCCCCTCTGTAGGGAGAGAGCCGGCGGGGGGGGGGGGGGGGGGCACGAGATGGTGGGAGCTACGATTAACCACCCCTCCCCCCGCCATCCATCTCGTGATTGAATTGTTCAAAAATCAATTTACCTTTTGTTACACCTGCGGTGAGGATAGCGGCCTCTAGTGGCCGGAAGGGGTCGCATTAATGACATTGCATTCCAGCATACGAATATAGGGGGAATGGCCGACTCGAGTTGGGAGCATCGCAGTGACCAAGGTCAGCAGGACGAGCGCGCTGGTGACGCGGCGCTCAGGCACACAAACACCACGGCTAGTCGATGAATAAAGAATGGGCTTTACCCCTTGCCGAAATAGCACAGGAGGCGTAATATTATTATCATTATCACAAGGCATGAAGTCTGCATTAACCACGCAAGCTTGTGGTGGTTAATGCAAGACTTGATGATGCCTTGCAAAAGGTGTCTATTTAGGTTTTGGGCCTCCTGTTTTATTACCGGAAAGGGAGAAACCTATTAATTGTTTTCTCATCATCTTGATACTGGCACGACGGGTCCCAAAGATACATCGGTAATTGTTCAGTCCATCACTCTATTGCCTTCTCGTGCACCGATATTACCCAGCAGCCTTGTTCCCGAGTTTGTGAATGAAAAACATTTAAATCATTCACATCTTGTCTCACAAACTCTCCACTAAATGCATTACAATGATCTATCGCCACAACTGATTTATCTACAAAGTTCAGCGGCGCCGTTCGCTGCTGGCCACTTGGTGGAATTTGGATAGAAAACGCCTGGAGGAGGAGGAGGGGTACGCTTCGCATCACGACTTGAATCCCCCAACAGGTCCACGCAGACAGCGCAGCAACAACCACCGCCCCCACCAAGACAAAGACCTCCCGTGTAGCCTTCACAGACTCTTGGGGCAAGTGCTACGAGTGAGCACTTACGAAGGCCGGCACGGCACACGATGGGGTGGGTTGTCAGCACCACGTACGGCTGCCTTTGTGTTGATGTTTTTTTACACACCGCACCGGGTACTCATTTGAGGCTGAGTCGACCAAGGGGAATGTCAAGGACCGGTTCAGGTCATCTTCACCGGTGTTGGTGGTGGCCTTGAGCGGGGGAATCGAACTCTCGGCGCAGCGCGCTAACCACCGCGCCACCGCTCCCCATACCCCCACCACTCCTGAGACTGCCAAGACAACCACCACAACCACCACCACCACGTACACGCCCTGTACACAAACACGGCGGCGCCCGCCCACCACACCCAGTGCCCCACCGGCTCACGCAACCCCCCGGTGACGCGATCCCACGGGCCAGCGCAAGACGAGTTCACTGCCTCCTCTTCCTCCTCCTCCTCCTCTTCCTCCAACCTTCATCACCCCCGCCCATCCCCCCCCCCCCCCATTTTGTTTTTCTGGCCATCTTTGGTGTGTGTTTGCTCGCAACGGGGATAGTTTTGGGGTGGGGGTTATGGGGGGGGGGGGGTTGGGAGGGGAAGGTATGGGGGAGGGAGGGTTGGTGGTGGTGGAGCCGCTAAGAGGTTGGAGGGGAGGGAGTTGGGTTTACGTGACGGACAGAGTTGTTGTTGTGATGACCGCGAGGGATGGACGATTCATTTTACTCCATTCGATTCGAGGAATGAACAAAAAAAACAACTCAATGCATTTGTGAATAACATCGCGTGTGTGGCTATGAGTGTGGCTATTGCTATGTAAGTGAGTGTGCGCGAGTGCAGCTATGGCTATGCGAGTGAATAAGTGACTGTGACTATAGCTATTGCTATGGGAGTATGTGAGTGAGTATTGAGTGTGCGAGCGAGTGAGCGGTGGTGTAGCGGCTAGCGCGCTGCGCTACAAACCTGGCGACCCGGGTTCGATTCCCGCCCACGGCCAACATTAGTGACGATTATCTTAACCGGTACTGGGCCTCCCCTAGGTCGAGTCAGCCTCAAATGAGAACCTGGTGCGGTGTGTAAACATCGTCACTGGGGAGGCAAAGGCGGCAAGGCGTGGTGCTGGCCACCCACCGCCTCGTGCGCCATGCCGGCTTTCATAGGTGCTCGCTAACAGCACTTGCCCCAACAGTCTGTTCAGGCTATACAGGAGATCTTTGTCTTTGTGTGCGCGAGCGAGCGTGCGGCGCGCTCACCCGTGGTGCTGGTGCTGTAGCTCCAGCGAGCCGCCCGCCGCCCCTCTCGGCGAGGATCGGTGCAGGCCGTCGGTGGAGGCGCTCTCCTCGTCGTCCACGTCGTCAACGTCGTCCACGTCGGAGCCCACGTCGCTCTCGCTCTCGCGCTTGACGCGGGGTGACAAGTCCAGCCCCGAGTCCACCGACTGGGACGCTGCGCCCGTGGGGACAAGGAGCAGCGGGTGGGTGGGAGGGGGGGACACGGGAGAGACGTCTTTAAGCCTAGGTTTGTAACCAGTGCCGTGGCACGGTTGGCATGGACCTCGCCATCTCATTCTCATCCTCACCCAGCACCCCGCGCCCCCACCCACCCCCCTCTTTGGGTCTCTGCGTTAGTCTTTGGGTCTCTGCGTTAGTCTTTGGGTCTCTGCGTTAGTCTTTGGGTCTCTGCGTTAGTCTTTGGGTCTCTGCGTTAGTCTTTGGGTCTCTGCGTTAGTCTTTGGGTCTCTGCGTTAGTCTTTGGGTCTCTGCGTTAGTCTTTGGGTCTCTGCGTTAGTCTTTGGGTCTCTGCGTTAGTCTTTGGGTCTCTGCGTTAGTCTTTGGGTCTCTGCGTTAGTCTTTGGGTCTCTGCGTTAGTCTTTGGGTCTCTGCGTTAGTCTTTGGGTCTCTGCGTTAGTCTTTGGGTCTCTGCGTTAGTCTTTGGGTCTCTGCGTTAGTCTTTGGGTCTCTGCGTTAGTCTTTGGGTCTCTGCGTTAGTCTTTGGGTCTCTGCGTTAGTCTTTGGGTCTCTGCGTTAGTCTTTGGGTCTCTGCGTTAGTCTTTGGGTCTCTGCGTTAGTCTTTGGGTCTCTGCGTTAGTCTTTGGGTCTCTGCGTTAGTCTTTGGGTCTCTGCGTTAGTCTTTGGGTCTCTGCGTTAGTCTTTGGGTCTCTGCGTTAGTCTTTGGGTCTCTGCGTTAGTCTTTGGGTCTCTGCGTTAGTCTTTGGGTCTCTGCGTTAGTCTTTGGGTCTCTGCGTTAGTCTTTGGGTCTCTGCGTTAGTCTTTGAGTCTCTAGGTTAGCCTATGGATTTGTAGGTTAACCTACGGGTCTCATCATTAGCCTATGGATCTCTATGGGAGGCTATGGGTCATCGAGTAAGTGTAGGAGTCTCCGTATCGGAGAGCAGTTGACATGGGCCCTAGTGCAAGAAACAGCAATTCACGCCCCAATATATCCAATTCCGCTCCCCTCCCACCTCCTTCCCCTGCATCTTCGCAGCCTGGCACCTATTTCCAGAGGTGTCCCTAGGGTACGGCAGATTGGGGCGACTGCCCCGGGCCCCACGTTTTGGGGGGGGGAGGAGGGGGGGGGGGGGGGGCTCCGCACTTTGACGTCACAGCGTCAGATGTAACACTTCCAGGTTTAGTTTAAAGGCGTCGGAGGGGATCGACACGGTGCGATTTGCCCCGGGGCCCCGCATCCCCCGAATGAACGGCCTTGCCTCTTGTACTCGCAAACGCACGCACGGCCCCGACGACGCGCGCATTGGTCACGGACGCGTCCGCTCACTCTTGAGCTGCCCCTTGGCCTCGTGAACCCCGAGCTGGTTCGCCGGCAGCAACGGGTCCATCGCCAGCTCGTACTCTCCAACGTGGTGGTGGCTCGCTTGGTGGTGGCCCGCTTGGTGGTGGCCCGCTTGCTGGTGGCCCGCTTGGTGGTGGCCCGCGTGGTGGTGGCCCGCGTGGCGATCGGTCGCCCGCTCCACCACGCCGAGGTGGTACGGCAAAGCCGCGGAGTGGTGGGGAAGGTGTCGCATGCCGTGGTCCAGCGGGCCGCCCGGGTGTCCCGGGTGGCCCGGGTGGCCCGGGTGGCCCGCGTGCGCCGGCACCGGCGTGCAGATTACGGCCAGCTGGATCGCGTGGCCCGGCCCGCCGCCCATGGGGTTGACCAGTTGCAGGTAGCCCTGCTGGGAGCCTGGCGGCGCGGCGGACAGCAGGGAGCCCGAGGGCAGCAGCGTGGACACAGGCAGGGAGAGACCCCGCAGGAGATGCGAGGGAGGCGGCGGGGGGCCGCCCGCCCCCCCACCGCCGCCCCCGCCGGGCTCTGCGGACGCGAGGAGGTAGGAGGAGGAGTAGAGGTCGTGCGGGCCGCCCCCCGACGGGTACGCGACGGGCCGCGAGGGCGAGCTCCGCGCGGAGCCCGGGCCGGAGGGGGCCGGGTACGCGACCAGCTGGTGGGTCAGCAGCGGCGGGGACGGCGACGGCGCCGGGTTCGTCCGCACGTGGCCCCCCGAGGAGGTCGGCGGGGAGGAGGAGGAGGAGGACGAGGAGGAGGAGGACGAGGAGCCGCCGCGCGTCGTCGAGCGAGGCTGCGGCACCGACTGAACGTGGCCGTGGCCGATGAGGAGGCCGTGGTTTAGGCCGTGGTTAAGGTTTAGGCTGTGGTTAAGGTTGAGGCCGTGGCTCAGGGCAAGGCCGTGGAGGCCGTGGCGAGACAGCGCCGCGTCGTCCATGGAGCGCGACTTGACGGACAGCGGCGGCGCGTGGGCGGCGCGAGCGTGGCGGGGGCCGCCCGACGGCGGCGGCGGCGGCGGCGGCGGCGGGGAGCCGCGGGCGCCGCCGGAGCTCCGCTGCTTATTCACCGTCAGGTTCAGCGGCTGGTCCTGCGCATCCATCGCGTCCCGCTTGAAGGCAGAGAACGCGTCGGGATGAACGTGGGACACGTAGTTGTTCATCTGCGGGCGAGCGGACAAGTTGGTTAATTGGAGACGGTGCTGTGCGTGAAGGCGGAGGGAGCAACGTGGTGCGACGGTTCGCGCGCTGCGCTACGAACCCGACGACCCGAGTTCGATTCCCACTGGTGGCCAACAATACCGGTGACGATTAACTGAACCCATTCTGGGTCTCCCCGAGGTCGATGTTTGTACACATCTGCGCTGGGGAGACAAAGGCGGCCGGGCGTGGTCCTTGGCCTTTACGACCGTACCAACGGCCTCGGTGGATCGTCGATTGCATCGCGAATAACGGGTGGTGGCGACGGCAGCTAATTGGTGTAGACGTTCATCCAGCAGTGGATTAACCATGACGGTTGATGACGTGTCTGTAGGACAGCTAACGCTTGTCTGTGCCCATGAGAACGAAAAGAAATCCAACTCACTCTGCGGTGTCTTTCACAAAATATATATTCAGTTCAATATTTTCATGGCAGGCGTGCATGTGCAGTGGTGATGTCACAGCATCTGCGCAACGACGTCACGAGGTTCGAGCCGGGTTCGTGCGTCACGCCGACGTCACGCCTCCCCCGCCCCCCCGACACTTTACCCTCTCCCGTCACCCAGGCGGAATACGCCAGCATACTACAGTATATTAGTCAAAGTTTCGCTGGCTGGCTGACTGGAGGATTACCTCAAAAAGGATGTGCAGGCTGCAGGTAAAATACAAGTGTCCCTCGCTCTACGCGGGTTCGTTCCATGCCATTCCGCGCTGGAATGTTCATTCATCTCGAATGAAGAGATGAATGAACATTCCCTCTGCCATGCGCTTTGAATTCACTCGACATGCGGCTCTGCGGTCGGACGTGGCAGCTGCATCGTGCGCCCTTTTTATTTTGGAAAGCATCTACCGCTCAAAGCGCACAGCCTCGCCACAGAGGCCGGTGTGGCAACTGCTCGGGCGAAGGCTTGTGGGGAGGACGAGGAGCCATGCTGATTGGGCGGGCCCCTGTGCGGTTCTCCGAGTTCGGAATGGACGCGATGACGAGGCGAGTTCGTTGTTGTTTTTGCTGCTGCTGCGGTTGCTGTGGTGGCTAACGCGCCCTCGTGCGCACGCGATGACTGACATGTCGCCGTATTCTGCGTTACCAGCCAGTATTTGCTCTCCCCTGGGGATTAAACGCGCCCTCCGTAATGACTCCGTAAACAACCAACGCCACGGCCGCGATAAACAAGGGTGTGTGTCTGTGAGCGCCTCTGTAGGTTGACTCAGCGTCAAATAAATAACTGCTGTGGTGTGTAAACATCGTCACTGGGGATACAAAGGCGGCCGGGCGTGGTGGTGGCCACCCACCCCCTCGTGTGCCGTGCCGGCCTTCATAGGCGCTCTTGCCCCAACAGTCTGCTAAAGGCTGTACCCGGGGTGATCCGTGTTTGTCTGTGTACGTGCATATGGGTGGCGGTGGCGTGTTGAGTTGGAATCCCGCTCACAACGAATACATCAACAGGTCCTGAGCCTCCCCTAGGTCGACTCAGCCATGAATGAGTACCGGGCGCGGTGTGCGAAACATCAGCACCGGGGAGACAAAGGTGGCCTGGGGTGGTGTTGGCCACCCACCCCTTCACGCTTGTAATGCCGTGCCCACCTTCAATCGGTGTCACTCGCTCACGAGCACTTGCCCCCGAAAAGTCTGTCCGGGCACCTTTGTCTTTGCGTGTGGGTGTGTACTTGGGCAAGTTGTGTTCCAGGCATGGGCAGGTCCGGAACGGCGCGTCGCGTCAATAATTCACGGCTCTGAATCTCTCCCCCACCCCTCGGGCATGGGCGTGTATTGTTTGGCTGTGAGACGTCCTCCACCACGCCCCCTCCCCCCTCGCCAACCCCACACACTCAGCTCGTGCACAAAGGGATCACGCGCAGACACCCCAAGCCCTTTCTGGGAAGCGGGTGTGGTTGAGTGCTGTGTGGGGGGTGGTTGAGTGGCGGTGGGGGGCAGTGTGGTGGAGTGCTGTGTGGGTCGTGGAGGAGCAGGAGGTGGCAAGGGCCTGCCAGTGTTGAGTTTGTGGATGAGTGGGTGGGCAGGGAGCTACCGCCATCACCTTGTCACGCCAAGCACCGGGTCACTACCACGCCACGCTCGCCACCAGCCTTGTCACTCCACGTGGGCTCTTTGTCAATGTTCGCAAGACGGAGCTGAGCCCGTGCGCGGGAGCGGTATGGATTGTGGCGACGACCGTTGGGGGGTAGGAGTTGGAGGGGAGGCCTTCAGCCAGCAGTGGATAGAACACGACTCCTCCTCTGCAGCTCTGCCACATTTCCCACGGCTCCGAGGCCCTTCGCCTCAAAACTCGCAAGGGGTCGGCGTGGACTAGACTGGTTCCAGACTGGTTCCGCGTGGCGGTGGCCGTGGCTATGTTTAATATGAGGAAGCGAGTGCCGTGCGTGATCGAGAGAGCCGTGTGCGTGTGTGGGAGCGGTGGCGCAGCGGTTAGAGCATTGCGGTTTTTGTACCAACTCAGCCACCGCAGTTTGATCCCCGAGTCACGCATAAGGTCCTGCTGACCCCCCCCCGACTCCCCCAGACCCCCCCCTACCCCGCCTCTGCCCAAGTTGACTCAGCCGATGCAGCGCGTGAAGAACTCAAGGCAATTTCGCGTGCTCACGGCTCAAGTGGCGGAAGGACCTCCACTAGAGCGGACCCTATAGGAGAGGGTATTCGGCCTACTCTTCCACCAAACCTCGACCTGCATATCGACTAACCGTGCTTTAGCCGTTTATATAATCCTGTCCGGTGAGACAAAGACGGCCTTGCGTGGTTAAATAGCCACGACACACCCCAGGCCCCCAACTCGTGTGCACTGCGTTCACCTGAATAGGCACTTGCTAACGGAAATAACAGCAACTTCCCCACCAGTCTGTACGGATAACCCGGGGGATATTTCGTTTTACCGCTCTGATGGTTTGGGGCACCCCATTGCCAGAAACACATCCGTCAAGCGCGATCAAATCACTTGGTGGTTGTCTTGTGGATATACTGGCCACCGGCACGGGGATGTGGAATTTCTGTCCACTTCCTTATGGTCCCCACCGACACAATCCCTTCCCTTAAAAAGATTACACTTTTGTTTAACCTCCTGCGTCTCCTTCCTTCTCCTCCCACCTCCTCCCCCCGGTCCCCTACCTAAACACCTCCCCCCCCCCTCCAACGCCAAGCTGAGTCAGATGACTCCTGCTCGGCTCCCGAGGAGCGACACAGACAGACCATTGTCCCCCTCCTTCCCTCTCCCGACTCCCCCCCCAGATCTCCATTGCTCGACTTCTGCCACCACCCCACCCACAAATGAGAAAGATCCCTCGTATAGCCTTAACAGACTTTTGGGGCAAGTGCTGTTCGCGAGTAGCACCTTTGAAGGCCGTCACGGTGCACGAGCGGGTGGGTGGCTAGCAACACGCCCGGCCACCTTTGTCTCCCTAATGGGAGACACCATCAGCCTGTGTGAGTTGCACGTGCTCTGCCATTAATCAATTCTCGCGCGCACAATTCGGTCCGTGTCTTGCGAACGCCCCAGTTATATTTTCTGGTAAAACTCAGATCTGAATTTCGGCATGAATCAGTCGACAGGTAGGCCCAAGTTTGATCAACAAATTAAATCACGATCATAGCCATTAACAAAAGCACATTGTCTGCCCCAATGTTCTTTTGGGTTTTTTTTTTCCCCAGCCAGATTTATTGTCGTCCTGCATATAAACCCGAGACCTGTTTTCACTTCTAGATTTCATCAGCAGCGTGTGGCCGGGTAAACAAATGTCCCAGGGTTGTTTGGTGTTGAGTCTATAAAAATACACAAATTCCCAAGTGGATTTAAACTACTCCAACAACTAGCATCGCCACCGTCACAACCACCAAGAACCCCCGACTACTTTTTCAATACCACCACCACCACCACAAAGACAAAGGTTCCCCGCGTGGCCTTAAAAGGCTGTTTGGGCAAGTGCTGTTTGCGAGTCGCACCTATGAAGCCGGGTACGGTACACGAGGGGGTGGGTGGCCAGCACCACGCCCGGCCGCCTTTGTCTCCCGAGTGGCGATGTTGACATGCCACACCAGGTGCCCTTTTTTAGGTCTAGTCGACCTAGGGGAGGCCCAGGACCACGGCAACAACTATCACCAAAATGACCGTATTCACTCAACAGACGAGACCACCACTAAGAACACCGTCACATCGCCACCACGACAACCACCGCCAACACCACAATGACACAACCACTGCATTGATGGCCATCGCAGCAGAGCCCACCATCACCACTGACCCACGACGACCGCCACAACACCAAATGTACCACACCACCACGACCGTGATCACCAGGACTAAAGCTATACCACAATCCACACCACCAACACTGCAACCACCATATTATTGGGTCTTTTGGTAAAGTCACGTAGATAGGTTCAAAGAAAATAACAAAAAGTAATATTAAAAATACTTTTTTTAAAACACGCTTTAAATCCCCACGACTCCAGGAAGTGGCCCCGAAGTTTGCCACAACGTAAGGGACCGTGGCCAATGACAGCCAACGTCAGTTGAGCGTCGACAATTAGACCCAAGCAGAAACATAACATATAAAAGAAGATTGTTATATTATTTTTTAATGATAGAATATAGTATTGTCATCAGTATGACATACGTATACCAAGTTTGCAGTCGATACGACATTGGGAAGTGGGTTAAAATTGAGTTACAGGATTTGAGGAAACAACAACAACAACAACAGTTAAATAAAAGCGAGTAAAAAAGCGTGCGATAATTACAAAAAACTACGAGGTTTCGATCGCAACACAAGCGTTCGTCATCAGGAAGAGATAAAAAAAAACTGCAACCACCACTCATTACTACACTTGAGCCGCCACCAACACAATAACCACCACAGTACACCACCTACAATCACCACCACCACCACCACAATCATGACCCCACCACAGTACACCACCTACAATCACCACCACCACCACAATCATGACCCCACCACAGTACACCACCTACAATCACCACCACCACCACAATCATGACCCCACCACAGTACACCACCTACAATCACCACCACCACCACCACAATCATGACCCCACCACAGTACACCACCTACAATCACCACCACCACCACCACAATCATGACCCCACCACAGTACACCACCTACAATCACCACCAACACCACCACAATCATGACCCCACCACAGTACACCACCTACAATCACCACCACCAACACCACAATCATGACCCCACCACAGTACACCACCTACAATCACCACCACCAACACCACAATCATGACCCCACCACAGTACACCACCTACAATCACCACCACCACCACCACAATCATGACCCCACCACAGTACACCACCTACAATCACCACCACCACCACCACAATCATGACCCCACCACAGTACACCACCTACAATCACCACCAACACCACCACAATCATGACCCCACCACAGTACACCACCTACAATCACCACCAACACCACCACAATCATGACCCCACCACAGTACACCACCTACAATCACCACCAACACCACCACAATCATGACCCCACCACAGTACACCACCTACAATCACCACCACCAACACCACAATCATGACCCCACCACAGTACACCACCTACAATCACCACCACCAACACCACAATCATGACCCCACCACAGTACACCACCTACAATCACCACCACCAACACCACAATCATGACCCCACCACAGTACACCACCTACAATCACCACCACCAACACCACAATCATGACCCCACCACAGCAGCCCACACACTGGCACAACTGAACCGTAACCCAGGCGCCTCCTGCCTCCTAAATAGCTCCACGGCGTCCTTACAGCATTCCCAGCGCCGGGAGACGGAGCGAGTCCCACACTTTCCTAAACATCAGCAGCAGCAGCTGCGGCGGCGTGACGCAACCTGCCCTGCACCACTTCTCCCCTCCCTCCCCTCAGCCCACACCCATCCCCCTCTCCACTAACAGCCCCCCCACCACCACCCAACCTCCCCTCCCGACTCCAACTCCCCACGCCCTCCGGCTTCGTGGGGGCGTGGGTAGACTACCCCGGGCGGAGGAGGAGAGATTGGACTAGGATGGTGGGGGGCGGGGGTTGGTCTGCTCGTGTTATGAGAGAGAGCGTTGGCGGTGGAGAGGGGAGTTGGTTGGAGAGGGTAGGGTGGGGAGGGAGGAGTGAGTGTGAGAGCGAGGGAGGGAGCAGGCAGGGGAGAGGCGAGCTGCCCTCAAACACCGAGGTCACAGTCACGCTGGGAGGCACGCAGGTATGAACCCCACCGCCGCGCGCGGGGGCCATGCCCACACTCACCTGCCCTCAGCTGTGCGCACGACAACTCAGTGCCGGCCCACTGCTGATGAGACCCCCAACGGTCGAAACTGCCCCCAAGAGCGTTCTTGTTGAACCAAAAGTTGCTGGATAAATATTGGGTCAGGAACGTTCTTTGTCTGGTGGGCCGAATTTTTGTTTGAAAATTTTTAACGAATATATTTATTTTATTGTAAAGAGAGACAGACGAAAAAGTGTCTATCCACCTAATACAGTCACCCACACAGTCACCCACGCAGTAACACTCGAACATGACCGACCTCGCTCTGGCTGACGAGGTCCGTATCGTCACCGATTGTCTCGGCACGGTTTACGTGCGGAGCGTCTAAACCAAGATTGCGCCGATGCCGCAGGGCGGTGGCGGTGGCCACGCTGCACTAAATGTTGCGAATCGCGCAGAGCATTCAATCAAAGAAGCAGGAAAATTAATTGAGAGAGAGAGACGGATTGAGATTTTGGCAGAAGGACGGTGTACGCGGCACGGTGGAGCAGCATCGGCCCTCGACAAGGGATGGGAGGGGGTGGGGGGTGCTTACGGCCGCCTCTTGGAGGCTGCCAGATGCACTGTACCACAAGACGGTGGCACGGCTGCGACGGCGGGCCACACAGGACGCGCTTGTCTGAACCCTGCGCCACCTTGGGACGGGCCGAGCCGCCCCGGCGGCGATGGCGCAAACTCACCATCGCGTCGGTGTCGCCAGGCTCCGTCTTCACGCGAGCGGGCATCTTCTCGATCATCAGCATGGCCGTGCGTGCTCTCCGGCCGGCGCCTCGTGCAGGGGGCAGGGGGGGGTGGGGCAGTGGCTCTCGTGGCACCGGTGACTCTGGAAGACAGCGGACGGCGAACAGGGCCTCGTTTTAAAGTCGCGACACAAAAATAATTGAATTTGTTAATAAAAAAAATAAAACATTGAGGACATCGCAGTGACAGAAAAACGATGCAAGCCGCCAGAAACACAACTTTGCCGTAGTGAGCACTGGTGGCGAAACCCTGATGATGAGCTCCAATGGCAACGAAACCAGGCAAACGCTGTTGTCTATTGCTGCTGCCGCTTGCCGCTTTCGGTGGTGTAAAATTGATCTCGGCTTTAGGCGAGCAGAACGGTGAGGCGAGGAGCGTGATGAGAGGGGGGCGAGGATGGCTCCAGCATTGGGAGGATTTAGTGAAGGACGAGGAATGAACCTCCAGAAGCACCTTGTGCTCTGAGGTGAGAAATGAGGAGGGATGAGGAGAGGGGCGAGGAGAGGGAGTTTAGGAGGGCCACACCGACCCAGGACAGGAGTTGAACTTGAGCCAGAAGCGCATCGCGCCCTTCGGGGGAAAAAAAGGCCTCGCGAGGGTGGGGCGGGAGTGCGGGCGCGCCCGGCTGTTTACACAATCGGGATGGCGAGACCGGCAGGAAGAGTCGGGAGGGGGGTAGAGTTGAGGCTGACAGGGAGAAAAGGGAGATAGAGAGATGGGGGGGGTGGGGGGTGAAGGGGTTGAAAGGGGAGATAGATAGGGAGGGGAGGGAGAGAGGGGAGGGAGGGAGAGAGGAGAGATAGATAGCGAGGGATGGGAGAGTGCGTCCACCGGGACCCAATTCGGCGCTGGAAATAGCGACCCGCGTACAGGGAGCGCGTACAGATGCTGCGGGTTTTGGTCGTAGTAACGTGCGGAGCAATTTGTGGGGAGGGGAGTGCGGTGTGTGTGGGGGTGTGGTCGGTTGGGTGTGTGTGGATTGGTGTGTGGTGTGACAGTGATGTGGGGTGGGATTGCAAGTGTTCCAAAGCAGCAGCTGCGTCCGGCGAAGGCAAGTCGCAGGCAAGTCGCAGGTAAGTCGCAGGTAAGTCGCAGGTCGCGCATCACGGGAATGACGGCTTCACCAAAAACACTCCGTGTCTCTCCAATCACTACGGCTCGTCATGGACACGCGTGCTGGTGAGAGACAACTCTGGCGTGACCTAATCACCCAACTCTTACCTAGAGATCCACTCAGCCACCCCCACCTCAGCCCCCATCCCCCCAGCCCCCACCCTTACCCCCCACACCACTCAGCTACCCACCCCAGCCCTGCACCCTTACCCCCACACCACTCAGCTACCCACCCCAGCCTCCACTCAGCTCGTCCAGTCACCGGTCCCTCACCTCACACCTGCACGTGGAGAGACACCACGTGCCCCACGTGGCCAATCGTCTCGGTTCAGTAGAAGCGGCCGTTAGACAAATACTGGAACCCCATTCACCCACAGAGAGAACGATTTTGTGAATCGCGTCGATTCACATTCTCCAATTTATTATATTATTTCGTGTGTGTGTGAATAGTGGTGAGAGTAGCGGCCACTAGTGGCTGGACGGGTGACATGAATCCGTTACATACGCAGAGACCCAAAGGCCCTCACGGATAGACCCATACACTGACACAGGGACCCATAGACGAACAAAGAGACCCATTGACTTGCACAGAGATCCATAGACTTACAATATAAACTTAGGACTAACTGCAACTTCCTCTGTGACTTGGATATACCCAGTCGCTGTGCACGGTGTGTTGACATGCCGGTGCTTTCAGACGTTGCTCCGATCCACATTGGACTGCATTGTGTGACGTGAACTCACTCAGAGATATGCCCGAAGACTCGCACAGAGACCTCCACAGACACCCGTAGAAATCTATCGCCTCACACAAAGACGCCCACAGCCTTGCACAGAGACGGACGCACACAGAGACCCAATCACTTAAAAACACTCGCACATAAGATTCGTCGCAGCGTACACCACGATGCGCCCGAGAAAACAAAAACGCATTGTGCTCAGCATCGTCGTGAGCTGCAGTCGCTACTCAGACGGCTCTGTACAGGCACCACCGCATTGCATTTTTATTGTTCCGCGTTTGCCTCGCAGCGGCTTCGTGGTGATGATGGGGGGTGGGGGGTGGCGAGGTTCGTGGTGGGGTTTCTGGGGGAAGGAGCGAGTGGAGTCCCGAGGGAGGTCGGGGTGTGGTTGGCGGTCGCCTCGCAAGGGCTAGGCACCCAGGGTTTGACTCTGGGGCGAGGTTCCGCACCCGCCTGGGAACGCGATTCTCGCGGCCGACGTTGTGCCCCGCACCTGGGACGCGGTTTCCTGCTCTGCGGCTGCGTGACCCCATTCGAGTTGGGGGTGACACGGGGCGAGGTGAAATCATAACGAAACCCCCTCCCTCTCTCCCATGGGAGCCCACGCACTCTCGCACGTACTGCTGCTACCGTGACACTTAATAGTGGTACTGACACACACAATGATGACACACACAATGATGACAAAGATCCCCCTTATAACCTGAGCAGACTGTTGGGGAAAGTGCCGTTAGAAAGCACCTATGAAGGCCGACGCACGAGCACATATATCTTTAAAAAGCATAATTATAAGCATGTATGTCATCAAAGGTCCTCTTAATATCGACGTTGGCGAGTTGGGGTTCAAGTTTAAACTTCTTGACGAGGTGAGAACTCGTGAGACCACGCAGGATAGTCTCGGTTTGCAAGGATGACTCGGGTGCAGGAACTGGCGAGGGATGGTGTTGTGCGTCTGTACATCACTGCAAGTAGATTTTATTTAGCCGATGATGATGATGGTGGTGGTGGTAGCGATCGTGGTGGTGGCGATGGTATACCAATCATCGGGCGCGTGCGGCGTGTCCTTACGTAGGCGCCGTTTTGCGCGGTTGTGCTGTGCTGCGCCCACCCTCTCCTCAGCCGCAACCCCCGCTCCCTTCTACCAGCCATGCAAAGAAACAAAATACCCTGCAGCAGCCTACAGCCAGCTGCTCAGGGCTATGCTGACGATAATTACTCCGCTCGCTGAGCCGAGTCGGCTTAATGGGTGGTGGGGGTGTGTGGGAGGTGCGGGGTGGTGAGGGTGTGCGGGAGGTGCGAGGGGGGGGTGTGCGGGAGGTGCGGGGGGGGTGTGTGGGGGTGTGTGGGAGGTGCGGGGGTGGTGGGGGTGTGTGGGAGGTGCGGGGGGGTGTGTGGGAGATGCGGGGGGGGTGGGGGTGTGTGGGAGGTGCGGGGTGGTGGGGGTGTGTGGGAGGTGCGGGGGGGTGTGTGGGAGATGCGGGGGGGGTGGGGGTGTGTGGGAGGTGCGGGGTGGTTGGGGGTGTGTGGGAGGTGCGGGGGGGGTGTGTAGGGGTGTGTGGGAGGTGCGGGGTGGTGGGGGTGTGTGGGAGGTGCGGGGTGGTGGTGTGTGGGAGGTGCGGGGGTGGTGGGGGTGTATGAGAGGTGCGGGGTGGTGAGGGTGTGTGGGATGTGCGGGGGGGGGGGGTGTGTGGGAGGTGCGGGGGGGTGTGTGGGAGATGCGGGGGGGGTGGGGGTGTGTGGGGGTGTGTGGGAGGTGCGGGGGAGGAATGGGGGGGTGCGTGGGAAGTGCGGGGGAGGAGTGGAGGTTTGGGGGGGGGTGTGTGAGGGTGTGTGGAAGGTGTGTGGGAGGTGTCGTGTGTGTGTGCGAGTGTGCATGCGTGGGGCGAACAGACGCACATCAGCACACACAGACAAAGATCCCCCGTAGAGCTCCAACAGGCCGTTGGGGCAAGTGCTGCTCGAGAGTGGCACCTATGAAGGCCGGGACAGCACACGAGGGGGTGGGGTGGCCAGAACCACGCCCGACCGCTTTTGTCTCCCTCGTGGCGATGTTGACACATCGCGCGCCAGGTGCTCATTTGAGGCTGAATAGCGCCACGGGAATCCCAGGACCGATTCACAAAACCGTCACTGGGTGTTTGGTGGCCGCGAGCGGGAATCGAATTCTGGTCGCCGGGATCGTAGCGCAGCTCGCTAACCACTACGCCACCGCTCCCCTACGCAGTCACACACCCGCACCACACACGCACCTGCTCATGTCACGAGTAGCCACTGCAACAGCCTCACTAATTAACTTATCCGGTTTCAAACGCGTGGTGTGTGGCAGTTTTTTGTCCAGATTGCGTTCATGTCCCACCCCGTGTTCCGATAGCGAGGGAACGGCGCTGCCGATACGAACTCGGCCCCGAGCCTGACCGGCTGAGTTCGATTCCCGGCCACGGCTAAGATCAGTGGCTCTTCTTCGCAGCACAAAGAGGTAAATATGGAGAGGAGCCTCTATATGTGTTGGGTCATTGCCCGAAACGTCGCCGATTACATTTTTGTCCTTTTAAGGATACAAAGTATGTTTGACAAACGTCTTAATTGGTTGTATTTTGTAGGACAACCACTGTTGAACAAAGTAGCACTCAATTTATCAACCCCGGTGGGATGATGGGCTGGGTAAAATCCCTTTCCCTCCCATGCCAAGCCCAACCCGGATTTAAACCCGAATCCTTTGCTGTACGGCTGAGCCACGTGGACGAGCTGATTGGAATCTCCCGCGGGTCCGCACGGAGCCCCCGTGGCAGAACTCGCGGCCCATGGCACTGCCGCTGGGATGGAGTCGACGCTGTCGCCAGAGAGGTTGACTCACAGAGCGGGGGGGGGGGGGTGAGTTCAACTCGGGGTCAAGTGTCGGCTCAAGTTCACCCCATGGTGACGAGTTAAAGAGTCAACATTCATCATCGTCGTCAGTTACCACCACAAACTTTATCATCCTCATCACCACCAATACCAACATCAGCATCATAACCAAACTACCATCACCACCATCAGCATCATCAGCTACCCATCGGCAATCATTCGGTGATGCGACTGCATTGGCAGTGGTACACAAAGCCTCGCTTCCCCTTCAGCTTGGACCAGGCCTACCCCAACCACTACCCCTGGCACGATCCCTACTACTACCACTACCCAAACACTATCACAACCACGACTCCTAACATTACCACTACCACTACCCCAACCATTATCACACTACCACTAACCCCTACACCGACTACTATCACACTACCCCTTATCACCATCCCATGCCCCTCCTTAACCATTCCAACCTGTTCTCCGAACTTCCATCATAACTACACCACCACTTTTAATAATAATAATAATAACCCGAACTCTTTGTTATCTCAACCACTATCATCTAATGTCCAATTTTTGCAAAGCACCTTGGAATACGGTGCTGCTCTACCAATCTAAGATATCAGATACGAGACAAGCTCCCCTCTCGAATGCGTGGTGGCTTTACTCCAGCAAGACACTGAGCAGCATTGTCGAAAGGAATTGGCCAAACATCCACCAGGTGACAGGAACCTCCCAAAGGTGGAGCCTTGAGACTCAACCGGCGGCATTCCTGGGATGATCGCCGCAGCTCTCGACGCCAAGATCATCGTTCCACCGCGGTATGCCGCAGTGTCCCTGTCTCGCCCGCGCGATGGCCACAGTTGGATCGCAACAGCCCCAGGGGTTTATGCTTCCTGCTGTTCCAAGAATAAACCTCCCGTCCCAAGGCAGCCACCCGGCACACAACGTCCACCGTACTCGCTCGTTGTGGCTGAAGCTGCCTGAGCTGGCGTGGCCACGTGGCCCTTAATCTCGTCTGCAAGCGACCCGCAGACGTGCACAAGTGAGAATCCATGGCCTCTAAGGTGACCTAGACCGTGAGACATGATGACCCGATCAAAGGCGTGTCGGTTCTACAGGTGGAGCCCCAGGCAAACTCTGGCTGAGTAGCGCCTTGACATTATCGGGCTGGCGGTAAACACCTCGAGTCGGGACACATGTGGAGATGGTGGAAGTGTGGCCCAGGCACATATCCAGACAGGCGTCTGAGCAGCTAGCCAGCAGTACAAAACAAAGGCAAATATAACGACAAAGATCCACCTTTCAGCCTTAACAGACTTTTTGGGGTATGTGCTGTTAGCGAGCAGCACCTATGAAGGCTGGCACGGCACACGAGGGGGTGGGTGGCCAGCAGCACCGCCGACCGCGATGCGGTGACCAACCCCCACCCCAAAACCGAGTGACGAATTTCCCAACTCGGCGTTACCGGGGCAAGAGAAAGGTTCTCACAGCCAGCGGGCGGGCACGGGAGGTGAGACCCAGAGGGGGGCAGTTTCAGGAAACAGGCAGCCTCGTCGAGATAACGCAGAGCCCCATGTGGCTCATGAGCGCGGCTCGCCCACCCGATGCACAGTTGGATATGCATTTGGCGGCGCAATGGTTTTGCCTGTGGTTTGCACCCTGCACGCTACACCACGTTACCAACCTGCCTACCTGACATGTGATTCCTGGCAAAGGCCAACTCACGTAACCATGCGACTGAATTAGAAACGAAAAAGTTTTGCTGGCTGGCTGAAGGCAGACGTCCGAATAATTACCGATTAAAACAACATTATACGATAACAATGTACAGCCTTAAAAGTGAAACAAACAATTATATACATAACAGGAGAGGTTTCGGGCAATGGCCCATCTTCATAGCACGTTTGTTTAAGAGGGCCATGACGCGGTGGCTAGCCTAAAACAGTAGCACTGGGGAGACAAAGGCGGCCGGGGGGCAGCGTTGGTAACGCTTCCCACTCTCCCGTACGCCGGTTCAGCACCAGAACAGCTGCTCACTAACAGCACCTGTGCCAACGGTCTCCACTGGACAACAACCACAAGGTGACCCCCACAGTGACCCACGCAGTGAACTACACGGTGACCTACACGGTGACCTACACGGTGACCTACACAGTGACCCCCCCCCAGTGACCCCCACATTAAGGGGGCGAGAGGGCCTACTTCATCCAGCAGTGGATCGAGGAGTGCATTAATTTTATAGTTCGCATCACCTTGGTACTGGCGACATAAATTCCCCCTCTTGACGACCGTAAAAAAATATTGGTGATATTATTCAGAACAGCTCGGCAAAACGATGGCAGTCATCAGGACAGCAAAGGTGATGCCCCGAGACAAAGTAAACAACGATCCAACTCCTCTCACGCACTGCTGCTGTTGGCGAATGGCATTCCCTTCCCTCGCCACCCCTTATAAGCCCCCACCCTCCCCCCTTATTTCACCAGAATTTTTGGCAACATCTCTGGCACTAACGGTGCGAGCCACAAACATTTTTTTCGAGATGATAAGTCGACCACAACATCTCCCAGCTCTCATGCGCGGAGCCGTGCGGCGCCACTACTTTTTTGGGGGGCAAGTGGAGGACATTCCACATTCCCATGATGGTGAGCTGACCTTACTCTACAATTACACTTCATGGAAATTATAAATCCCCATGATAGTTCCCCACGACCAACTTAACAATTTTAATTCAATGGAAAATTCCACATTCCCATGACGGTGCCCCGAGCGGCTTCACCGTTTTAATTAGCGAGTGACCGTCGCGGCCAGTGCTGGTTATGGATGACACCGATCAGCGTTGTGCAACCCACGCCAAAGCCGGCGTGTTGATGCGCGTTCGCGTCTGTCCCCAACTCGGCCCTTTCCTGGAAAATCACTCCACACCCAATCTCCACCCTCCCCACACCCCTCTCTCCCCGCTTTCCACTCCCCACCACCACCAGCAACACACATACACACGCACAGCCCTCTCTGCGGCCACATCAGCCTTGGCATGCGAGCGAGTCAGCAAGAACTGGTCGGCTCCTGCTTTGCGAGAATACAAGGTCCCCCTTCTCTTCTCTCCCCCCCCGCCTCTCTTCTCCTCCCCGTTCTCGCCACGCTCTGACAAACAGGGGCTCCTTCACATCGCCAGAGTGGCCGCGCCCCGGCCCAGGGAAACTCGCCTTCACCCGTGGCAGCTCCGGGCTGCTGCCAGGCCAACGTGGAGGGCTGCGTGACCGCGCGTGTCTGTCTGTCTGTCTACCCCCCCACCCAAACCCCGTCTCTCTCAGCTTTCA